TGCTTCCGCTATTCAGCAATCTGATGATGATGGTGACGATGATGATTGTGATGACGATTGTGATTATAAATATTGTGATGATGATGATGATTGTAATGATAATGGTGATGGTGATGATGGTGATAAGGATATTTTTAAATAATAATTTGAACTAGGAAGTTGAACACGGTAAAAATGTAGATAATTTCCATACTAATTATGTTAATAATTATTTTAATAATATCATAATAATAATTATGATGACCAAAATGAATAAACAGAAATAGAAATTAAAAAATAATTAATTAAATAATTAATCAATCAATCAAAGACCTGGGATCTGAAACAGCAACAACTTCGTCGTCGTCGTCATCAACACTCAGAGAAGAAAATTCTTTACTATTCAATATAGGTCGGCGCGACCTTGACCTATTTTCCGAAGGTCGATAGTTGGGGTCATCAGCGTGACCAGCATAGCCTTCCACGTTTTCTCTGGTCAGCGTATCATCCTTCTTACTGCTGCTATACACAGAGGATGGTTTGTAAAAATGATTACGATGATGATGATGATGAAGGTGATGATGAAGGTGATGACGACCAACGTCTGGTGAGTACGGTGTGGTGAGTGACGACGATGACGTTGACGAGAGAGAGGACTGAGATAAGGAACTGTTGGAGTTTGAGGAACCTGTTTGCAGACGTGCTAATCTTTGTTGCTGCTGCTGTTGCAACATTTGCTGCTGTTGTCGTTGCAACATTTGCTGTTGCTGCTGGTTGGCTAGATTTCTACGCGACTCGCTGTATTTATAACAGTCGGACATTTCAAACGATTTGCAAATCTCTGTTTTGTAGAAATGTTTTGAAGATGGAGAGCCTGGAAACCGTTGCTGCTGCTGCTGCTGCAACCCAAATGGCAGCAAAATCTGTTTGCTGGGTTGGTTACTTAGCAAGGAAGATGACGAGGATGATAGCGGTGGTGTAATTATTTTGCTGCCTTGGATGGATGGCGCTTCGTAACCGGAATCACTGTACAGCGAATTACCACGACTGTTGATGCTGGTGTCGTGTATGTTGCTGGAGCTGTCCAGAATGTTGCTGCTGAGATTCTTTTGGCTGTTGTTGGCGGTGGAATTTTGCTGTTGGTGTTGTTGTGAGGATGCTGAGTGGTTACTAGAGCTCCATCGGTTGAATTTAACGTTGTTGTTGTTGTTGCTGCTGTCCCCGGCTATTAAGTGTTGTTGCTGTGAATATTCATTTGGCAACAATGCCTCGCTGTTGCTGAATGAAGATGCACTGCAAAGGAAAATAATTTGTACAAATGAGAAAATAATTCAGATACAGAATAATTCACCCCCAACATGTGCATCAATCACCCTAACTGATAAGAATGCAAAAGGAATGCAAAAGAAGCAAGCAACCGAGTACCTACCTGATATTGGAGTCAGAGGATGCATGTATGTACTCGTTGGACGAGAGGTGATGAATTGAAGCCAGCTGTGAGAGGGGTGGGTAGGCGTTACTGCGACAGTACAGCTGATTGATTGACGACGTGGTTGAACTGCTGGCACCCCCTGCACTCCCCCCGCTGCTCAGTGTCGACAGAGATTCCGATTTGATGTGGTTGAAGTCCATGACGGAATGGTGAAAGCTGTTGAATCGATTGAGTAGATTGTTGCCGGTGCTGGTAGGGTGAGTAGGATAGCCGTTGTTTGAAGTGACGTCTTGCGCGGCGTCTACGTCATCTAGCGGTGTCGTCGACGATGACGTCATAGATGTGGTTGTTGCTGTCTGGAGGTCTTGATTGGATGAGGAAGAAAATTGATGAAGTTTGTAGAAGTTGTTGTTCATTTTGTTGTAGACCGAGTAACCATGTTGTTGTTGTTGCTGCTGCTGTTGTTGTTGATGATGATGAAAATGTGGTGCTCGCTGACGTGGGTCACCGTGAAAATTATTCTTAAAAACTGATCTCGCGCATTTGTACATATGAATTTGTTGCGGGTGGTCGTATCTTTGTTGCTGTTGTAGTTGTTGACCTTGTTGCATGTGCACGTATTCCTCACATTGGAGAAGGCCGTAGTCAGCCGCCAGGTTCCTGTTGATGATGCGAGGGTCCGCCGAAACGGGGAAGATGCAGGATGTGGATGAGGAGGAGGACATTATGCGGTTGCCATGGTGATGGTGAAGGTAACCAGGGTGATGGTAGTTGCTGAGCAGTGGCGAATTGAAATCTTGTTGAAAGTCAGAATGTTGGTGAAGCTCGTTGTACTGTCGTTCTTGTGAGAATTGTTGCTGTTTGTTGTTTTTCATCATTTTCTGCCACTTAGCTCTTTCAATATCAACAGTCATTTGTGGTTTTCTTGACGGTGAACTCGAGCCTTCAAAATCTCTAGCTCTGCTTTCTGGACCTGCAACGCGGCTGCTACTGCTGCTGCAATTACTACCACCACCGCCGTGACTGCCGCTACTACTGCTACTACCATGCCTGGTGAAATGAACTTGAGTGGTGTTCTCAGTGTGGTAGTAATGTGAATGTTGCTTTTGCAGCTGTGCCTGCTGCTGTTGCTGCTGCAATTTTCTTTGAAGTTGTTGAGATTTCTGTTGCTGTTGAAGCTGCTGCTGTTGAATTTGTTGCTGTAGCAATAAGGCTTGTATTTTCTGCTTTTCTAAATTGGATATTGGGCTGCAAAATTGAAAACAATTAATCAATTGAGGAGCCAAATAGAACGACAACAAAAGCGACAACATCATCAGAAATCACACTAACTCGTTGGCATAAGGACGCCTTGAGAGGACAGGACTTGATGGGGCAGACTTGTATGACTTTTGCTGCTGCTGCTGGTGGTGACCAGAGGAATAATTAGTGACGTCATCATTAAGATTTTTGACGTCATGTTGTTGTTGTTGCTGGGCGGAAGATAGGGACGAAGATGACGGAGGACAAGGAATGTTGTTGTGTTTCTTATGCTGGGAACTTGTTGAGTTGGTCCTGCACAGTGACGACTGCAAACGACACGAAAGTAATGACAGTTCACAGTTAGTTAGACAAGCAACAGTGTTTACAAAAAATATACCAATGAAAAAATGAACAAAACAACAAAAACATATTAGGAAGAGAAAGCACACCACAAACCTTATCATCGCTCATCTGTTTCCTAACAGTAAATGGTGACTTTGCGACCTTTGACCTCCCGACATTTGAAAAGGTCAACGTCTCGAATGACCTTCTCAAGTTGGCTGGGGTGATGTTCAGTGATTGGCTGTTAGGTTTCACGCACAGCCTTACATTATTAGCAAGACTTGAACACTCATCACTAGTAGAACGCGGATAAACAGGCTGATGATGATGCGGATGAGGACGATGAGGATGACGAAGTTGCTGATGTTGCTGATTTTTCTTCATGTTGCTTTTTTGCTTCAGGATCAGCTCCAGCTTAGTCAACTGAAAAAAAATTTATATAAAGTGGAGTGATAATAATAATAATACTTCTTTCTTTCTTATTACAATGTCTCATTGACATCATTCTCCTCATCAACAAACATCAGCATCACCACCAACATCATCACCATCATTACAAACCTTTTGCAGTTCATTCTGATAGCTATCAATCCTCTTCTTTTTGATATTCTTGCTAGCAGGGGCATTCGTGAGGTCAAGGGCTGCCTTCGTGATCTTGTCCTGTAGTTCGTACTGTACCAACAATGACTGCATCTCCTCTGAAAGCTGGAGGTCATGGTCATGAGGGTGATAATGAAAACGACGATGATGACGATGGTGGTGATGAAAAAAGTGAAAAAGATAAATAGGAGATGATGAAAAACTTGTGTGTGCGTGTGTGTGAATTGAGGAATTTGTGATAACAGTTTGGAAATCTCCATCAAACATTCCATAAACATTGGAAAGATTAAAAAACAACAACTGCCAACTGACATCTATGCGATCAACAACACTGGGCGATAGGGAGTAGGACGTCCCAATCCTGATCTTGATCTTTGGAGGAGGTTCGTCGGGATCCTGGGGGTAGTCAGTAGATAGCTCTCCAGTCAATTCCTGTTTACGTTGAATTATGTATGTGTGTGTGTGTGTATGTGTGTGTGTGTATGTATGTGTGTGTATGTGTATGTATGTGTGTGTGTATGTATGTAAAAATAACATAAATAAAAGTAATAATAGGATAGAAAAATAATAAGAAAGAATAAAATAAAAAATTACTAACAGCTTCTTGCAGGCAGAGCGACTTTAATTCTTTCACTAAATCCTTCAGCCTATCATCGAGTTCGGATTTTTTATCCTTCAACATCTCCAGCTGCATCCTCGCCTTCTTCAATGCCTCCACATCCCTCGGGACTGAAATGAGAATAAGAAAAATAAAATTAAACTAAATCAATCAATCAATCAATCTTCGTTTAGCGTCCAGAGACCCAGTTCCCCGAGGTAGGACGTTATAAACGAAACGAGTATATAGAAATAATAATTAAATACTACAGAACGGTTAAAACGCATACAAATAAACATGGCAAAAGAAAAATAACGGTACTAAATTAGCAGTAGTGGTAGTAATAGTAGTAGCATTAGTAGTAGTAGTAGTAGTAGTAGCAGCAGCAGCAGCAGGAGAGGCAGTAGCAGTAGTAATATAACCAAAAACATATTCTCAAATAACATGTAGCAAATAAATATAGCAAAAAGGATGAAAAAATTTAAGAGCGATAATAACTTTGCTAACCGTCTTTAATTGAATCTTTAATAGTTTTTTTATCCTCACAATCTGCACTGAGAATTTTGTTAGATGTTGTTGTTGTCGTTGTCGATGGAGTAGCTATAGATGTTGTTGTCGTCGTTGTTGTTGATTGTGAGTCGTCCCACTCTGGACCAGAAAAAATTGGAGATTTTGTGTCAAGATCGTTGACGATGTCATCAATTTTTCTTCTGTCATCACCCTGATAAGATGGAGATGGCATTGGTGGTGAAGATGACATCAGCGAGAAAGGGGATAGACATGCATAGAAAGACATACATTAAATTATTATCCAAAAAAAAACCACCAAGCAACAAACAACAAACCAACCATGCAGGAGATATCGATGGAGAAATGATGCTGACTGACTGCCATATTCCAGATGGCCTTGGTCAGTTGAGTTGACGGACAAATCCAAGAATGCACATCCAAATCAGAGGGAGAGATGTCCAATGTTTGTTGTTGTTGTTGTTGTTGCTGTTGTTGTCGTCGGGTGCTTGTGGAAACTCTGTGTCATTTTTTGTGTATGTGATTGTGGATTGTAGTTGTTTTTGTTAGGCTGCTTGTTGTTGTTATGTCGTTTAGTTATGTTGTTAAAATGAGTTTGTTATATGTGTATTTGTTGACATCAACATATCAACAACAACAATAAACAACAACAACAATGGTGATGTCAGAATGATGACATTAACAAACGAATAGACAAAACAAGAACATACTGAGTTGTAGGATCGGTGATAGCCTCAATCAGATCATCATCATCATCGATGTTATTGATGTCAGCTGTGCTGTCCAACTGGCCAGTTGTCACTCTGGTGAATAACATTAATGAAACTAATCATTATTATCATCATTGCTTTCAACATAATCATTATTGTTATCCTCATCGTCGTCACTATCATCATCATTTTAAATGAATAAACGAATGAATAGACAAACAAATGAATTAACAAACAAACGAACAAACAAATGAACAAACAAACAAACGAACAAATAAATGAACAAAAAACAAACGAACGAACAAAAAGAAACAAAAAAAAAAACAAATAAGTAAATAGATTAAAAAATACCTTTTCGGGTTATGAACTTCTAAGCAAAATTTTTTCTCCCTATAGAAAATGTTCTCAATATTCTTCCAAAAAAACGTCTGACCAATAAAAAATTAATGAATGAGTGAATGAATGAATGAATGAATGAATGAACCAGCCAATGAACGAATGAACAAATAACAAACAAGTCAGTGTTATTAATCTATGAAACCAAGATACAAACATAGACACAACACGCACACGCACATACAACCAAAACAAACAAAACAAAATATACAAGTCACATACAAAAAACATACAAGACAAACAAAAACATACAAGACAAACAAAAACATACTAGACAAACAAAAACATACTAATCTAGGAACTTGTTTGTCATCATCATCGTACACACTAATGCCTTTTATATTCAAACCTAGCCACCAAGGTAGACCGGCTTTATCCTGAATAAAACACACAAAATAATAAATAAAAAAAAAAACAAAAGAAAAGCAAATTATCAAATTATCACAAACAAATAAATAATTCAAATAAAAAATCGAAAAAATTTCAAGTTGGAAGATGAAAACTACAACAGCATGAAAAGCTTACTTTGACTTTGTAATAATGTACCCCGTAAGATGGTAATGATTCGATGATGGATAAGAATCTGATTTTTGTAATCAAAAAATTTGAAAAAAAAAATTACATTGTGACATTAACAACTGACAAACAACACCAACAATAATGACAACAGCAGCAACAACAAAAACATTAACAAAAGCAACAACAACGACAAAAACATTAACAACAACGGCAAACAACTAAACTACCTACCCAGCTATGACCAGACCCCTGCTATTGTTTATAAGTGTCTTGTAATAGTGAATAATCCTATCCTCGCTGAGAAAATTATTTATTTATTACGAATAATAATAATAAAAATAATAATAATTATTATTTTATTATTACGTCCTATTATTGTTATTACAAACAAATATTAAAACATATTAACGTTTCTAATTCAATATCTTTAAAACATTTCAACCAATCAGTGATATTAACAAACGAAAATAACATAAACTTACTGTAAAATCAAACGAACGTATACATGTACATACACACACACACACACACATACACACACATATATACACACATACATACACACATACAGACATACATATATAATACATACATGTATACACATACATAATGATGACAGATGTATTGAAAATTATACATCAAATAAGGATAATAATTTCTAAGGATAACGCATAATTGTATGTAAAAAAGTGTCATGTAGTACATTATATAGTGGCATTCAGCTGATGTTGAGAATGCCGCTTGCTAATAAAATAGAAAAAGAAATCTCATTAAAAAAGAAAGCTGAGTGTGTTTGTTTGTGTGCGTGCATGTGTGTGTGCATGCAAGTGTGTGTATGCGTATGTGTATGTACGTGCGAGCTAGACAAACAAGCATCCCCAAAAGATACATTAGTAATTATAGCATCAGAAATAATACTCACAATATAGGTGACCTAAAGTCAGAAAATAGATTAAAAAACTTTCATTATGAAATAACTAGAATGAACATATGAGAACAAAATAAAAATGCAAGCTCACACACAAACACACACACACAGACTGACAAACACACACACACACACATACGCAAACATACAAAGTCACAACTAATAAAACAGTAGAACGTACCAGTAGGAGATGGATGGCTGTTTCTGTAACAAGCGGAAAGGCAGTAAGGACCTGCTACTGATGTTCTTCTTCGTTATCTCGTTGCTAACAAGTTCACAGTGACAATTTAACAATAATATTAATAATAATTAAAAATAACGATAACAACAATAACAATAATATATCATAACGAGTGCTAAACATATGAAAAACTACGAAAAAAAAGAATATCACGTCAAAACTAGTTATTATTATTCATTATGGGAATGTTCCTAGCTGAATCCATTGAGCTAAGAAAGTTTTCCCATCAACACCATACACGCACACGAGCACGCACGCGAACACGCACGCAAACACACACAAACATTCGCATAAACACATGCATATTAGTATCTATCATTATGATACGTATTTGTTGTTAGATGTTATAGCATTCAGAAGTTATAAATAAAATAAAACCTAGGTACATGTGCCAATAGTAAAATAATGTATAGAAGCTATTCGCCACACATACACCAACACACAAACATACACACACACATAAAAGCATACAAACGCACACAAAGACATACATACATAAAAGCTTAGGTAGAAATGCACACAGGGCAAACACATACTATATACATAATTTAACGGTAGAAAGAACGCAGAAGTAGATATTTTTAATCTCTGGTACTTAAACATTGAAAAGCAATAATTAAATTATTAATAATGTTATTGAGAAAACCCAATAAAAAAATTACTACTGTGGCTACTACTACTACTACTACTACTACAACTGCTACTAACACACTAAAAAAAACTAACGATAATAATAATATAAACAATAATAAATAATTAAATAATTAAAAAATAGTCAAAGATTTCAAGCCAGAAGTACAGACTTGACATATGCTCCGAACATTTCTTGCAGTGCTAGGGCTGCCAGTTTAAAGGCATCATCCTCACAGCAAACCAAGCCGTCCTTATAATAACAATAATAATAATAACAATAATAATAACAATAATAATAATCTGCATTATAAAAAGAACATTCTTTTATTTTCATTTTGAAACATGCATTGTAATTATAAAATTAAAATAATAAAACTTATAATGTAAATTATATACATATTCTACATTGCTCGCCATACATTTTAAATGGGCCCAAAGAGATAATAATAATAATAATAATAATAATAATAACAACAACAATAATAATAATAATCTGTATGATAAAAAGCAAGATAGTTGGTCAGTAGTAACCATAAAAATTAACTGTTTGGCTTGTAGGTAAAACAACTCTACTGCTTGAATATCCTGTATTCTACTGTATGTGTCTATGTAGAACCTGAATGAATGAATGAATGAATGAATTAATGAATGAATGAATGGATGGATGGATGAATGAATAAATGGATGAATGAATGAGTGATGAACAATGGTTAGACAACAGCATTATCCTCCACCTACAACTTAAGAGCAACAGAGAAACAACAACAACAACAAAAACAGAAACAACAACAACACAGCATATGCATAATTGATACATGCACTGTATGGCTTTCATAAATTATTAGCTGATAAATCAGATAAATCAATCAATGGCAGGTCCAATGTATCCCACCAAGTTTGATAGAAACAAATAAACTCACACACAAAAACATACACACAAATATACACGCACACAAACAAACACAAAAACACACATACAACAAAACCTTCATCTTTTTTTTATAACCATCTTTGATAGAAACAAATAAACTCACACACAAAAACACACACACACATATATATACACGCACACAAACACACACACACACACACACACACATACAACAAAGCCTTCATCTTTTTTTTAATAACCAACAACAAAGAAACATAAAACATAACCTAACTTGAAACAACAAACAAAACTAAAATACAGCAACTAAAGTTTAAATAAATGAAAAAAACGTTCTGGTGTAAATCAGTTGCAAACAAGAAAAAAGCTGTAAAAGAAAGAACTATATGAAATATTGACCTGTCACCGTCAGTCTATTATTTTATTATTATTATAAGAAGACAAAAATAATAAGTAAAAATTAATTATAAACATTACTTACTACTACTATAACTCTGCCATAAATATCTCTCTCTCTCTTTCTCTCTCTCTCTTTCACTTTTTTTCTCATACTCTTCTTCTCCCATCATTCAAAAATTTACACATTAATTCATTTTTTCGTTCGTTCGTTCATTCAATAATTCATTCATTGAATTAGTATTTGCTATGCAGTTAAATGTGTAACAAGATATATGCATGTAAACAGGTAAGCAAGCCTACTACATAATTACACAACATTTGCTGTCTGTAATGCTAGGCAGCATATAACTTTAGAAATAGAAGGAGAAAAATGTGAGTGTGTGTGTCTGTTTGTGTGACAGAGTGAGTGAGTGAGAGAGAGAGAGAGAAAGAGAGAGAGAGAGAGGAGAAAGAAAGAAAGAAAGAGAGAGAAGAGAGCATTTATTAAGCGTGTGAACTATAAAGCAACATGTACAGGTACAGTACACAGTACACAATACATAGTGAGGCATATCATTGTTAACTGTTATAACTGTTGTGTAGCTGTCATTCATCTCACATTGTTATTGTTGTTTATGTTTATTCCATTCTAATTCACAATAACTAATGGGAATAAAATTAATCTCCGTAGTATTAACATCAAACACGCACACACACACACACACGCACACAGAAACACACACACGCACAAAGAAACGCACACAGAAACACACACACGCACATGCACAGTTGTTGAAATAATGAAGCAGAAAGCTTTAAGATAGAATAATTTCCGATGACCATCAAAAATTAATTAAAAACCAGTTTCGTGTTTCAGGACACTGAACTCCAGTCATATAAAAAGTTTAATAATAATAAATAATATTAAATTAATAATAATAATAATAAGCAAAGCACATAGGAATAAATCGGTCAGTGGTATCATTAAACACAGACAGACTCAACCAATGATATGATGTAGCATAACTAAATTTCAAAACAGATTGGTAATTGGACGCTGTATCTCATTAAATAATCCAGCTCACAATTTAAGCATCCCTACACACACGTATATTCAGACGAATACACACACAAACACACAACTACAACAACCACACACACACACACACACACACACACACACATACACACACACACAC